TATAATTATATATATATATATAAATATTGTATGTATACATATTATGTATTTTATATATACATAAATATTTTATATTTATGTATATGTATTTTTATAATTTAATAATAATAATAATTCCATTAATAATAATTCCATTTATAAATACATTAGCAATATCTATATTTATATTACTAAAAGATATTTTTAAAGGAAACTTACGATATAGCATGTAGCAATTCCTGTCGTTGCTTCTCCTTCACCTTTACACTTCCACCTTCTTCGAGGGCTACTTGCAATTCTCTTTGCAAGACTGCCAATTTACGGCGTTCACCTTCTAAGAGTAACGAAGTAACCTAAAACAAAATAAGGATTATTTGCTCCACGGGTTAGATGACGGTAATTAAATACATTTAATAAAATACATTTTGTGGCTTCTCAATATAACGTATTTCAAAATAAGGAACGAGAAAGGAATAAAATATTTAAAAGATAATTTTACATTTTAACACGATGTTTTATTTTGCTAATTTATATATCTAACAATAGATTGTTAGCTAGTTAGCTAGATGGACGATATATTTATCGTCTGCAAAAAAAATAGAAAAGAAATGAAAAAAATCATTTTTTTAAAAAGCTATCTTCGCAAAATGTTAGGATCTCAAAATGTAAAAACGGATTATTTATTTAAAACTGCAAAAATCTCGATTTTTGACGTAGAAATTTGGTTCTGTTTTACGCGGCAGTTGATTACTTTGCGAAAGTACGATTATCTACAAAAAGAACTTTTTATGCTTTCTTCTATTACCCATATAATAGTTTCTTACTATAGTCGTAAAGGAAGAAACTGTTCCTTTTACCATCATACGAGAACATGTCGTAGAGAAGAACGTAAAGAATATATCAACTGACGGCAATACAGTTCTGCCTTCAATAACCATATGTTGGTATATAGTTTTCTCTCTCAACTATCGACAGAATTCATTGAATTCGCAATATTTCAATAACATTCTTTTGTAAAAACAATCACATATTTAAAAATAGACTTAATAACGACCTTGCAATCAAAAATTTTTCCAAGCATCGTCAGTTTACTTTATTAGAGACAAGACAAAAAAATATATAGCTTATTAATCAATAAATTTTACAGTAAAAACTTTTCTCATATTTAAATACAAATTTACAAAAAAGATTACAAAAGTATATAAAAATATATTAAAAAATTAAAAATTTAATAGACAATAAAATAAAAGTTCGTGTACTGTTAATAAAAAAACATAACTGCTAGATCAAATTGTAATTCAATTTTACTTGTTTGTAATGTAACTTTCTTGTACTTTATTATACTTTCTACTAAAAACGTTTTAGCATCGATTGCCACCGTGAACGAAATTAATGGGCTAAAGGAGCAATGTTTTTTTTTTTATAAATGGCTTGAAAGAGGTCACAGCGTAAAAGAGCCTCATGTTTTTATTTATATCTTGTAACGATTTCGGTTTCCCTGCTACGTCCACACGAGCGCGATAAGTACGTACGTATAATACGCACGTTTCACGCAAGTCGCGCACGTTCGATTTCACGCGCGCGACTGCAGCATGCGCGCGAACATCTCGTACGCAACGACACGCACGCACGCACGCACGCACGCACGCGCATGTATATGTAAATCGTTCTCATAGGCATACTTGGCTGCGTACATACGTACGTACACGTACACGTATAAGCGCAGAGATACTTAAATAGATAAACGAGATATAGAGAGAGAGATACGATTTGCTTGCCGAGACTAAGACTCGCCCCTAGGATCGCTGCGCTCCACGGAGGTTTGCGCATACGAACCGTACTCCATAATTGGCCGAAAGTACTGGACTTCCTACGATTATATGAGTTATTATTGTTAGATTGCGCTAATTCCACCGAAGAAATTCAACCTCGTTGTGAATGCGCTCGTGAATATGCGAATCGTACCGCTTCTCTGATTCACGCACCGCCGTCAATCGGTATCCCCATCCCCAAGATCATTAGGATAAAATCAAAAGATATCTTCGGGATGTTTCACATTCCTTATCCTTTCTCTCTTTATGCTACATGTGTGTGTATTTTATATTTAACCTTTTTTTTTTTAATTTTTAAATTAGAAACTGGGCAATAGGCGTGGGATAATTAATGAAATGCTAATAATTCTCAAGGATTATTTAAACACTATAGAAAGATAAAAGTTAAATAATTATCTGTTCGTAAAGTTATCTATTTTCATTGTGGTAATTAAGTAATTAATTAATCGTCAACAGCCAGATTACATCTTTATTTGAATATAATATATGTAAATGTACATACATATTTCTTATACATTTATCTTTAATTTTTATTTTTCCAGTATTTTTACTCTTATTCTGGTTATACTAATTACTCTGTACGTCTTATACATTTATCTTTTAATATTCTTCCATTTATGTCCGTTTTAATAAATGAACATCGAGGAGACAAATTGTATTGAAAAAAAAAAACTCTATATATCCCTGCATTGCAGACATCTATGCGTGGATACCAGCAGCCGCAAAAGAATTAGAGGTATCCAACCCATTTTATGGTCGTTAAACGTTTGCACTCCGAGTTGGAATTTAAATTATATCGCGCCGCAACCGGTATATAAGTAAGTTCGATTCAAGCAGTATTTACATATAAGTTATGATGTACTTTTACGGGTGCAATAATGATTTAGAATTTATCTTAATTTGTATATAACGTAACGTTCGGCGGTAAATCAAGAGAAACAGAAAAGATGGAGCGCACAGTACAACAAATTTGCAATTTCTCCAAGCGAGTCAGTAAGCAAATATTTTGCTTGCTCTGCGATACAGAACAGAACGGAAATTGCCACGCTCATGCATTATTATACGATTATAGAAGAATGTTCGATTTGCACGTTCGATTAGCATTTTTGTATTCGTTTTTTTATTGCTCTCACATGGAAAAAGGAAAATAATTTCTAGTGGAAAATACATCTCTTCTTTTAGCTTTAGTCTCTAACTCATGCGATATTGGTACAATAATTTGATACAATAATTTTCAAATTTTTGTACTGTCGTGTAAAAGCCAGATAGAAAATGTAGAAAACTACTCACATGACACATAGTAAAATTTCGTCGCGTTGTGAAAAGCGTTTGTAGTTGCATTATATGACGAGCCGCACGCGTACCGCGCCTTCGAAGAAAGAAATTCGAAAGAAACTCGTTTGTGTAGTGAAAATTTCATTTCACGCATCTACGTGCCTGTTATAACTAAAAGTCTATTTCAACGCGCGCACAGATAGATGCGTCCGCTTCCCTTCCCTAGATATCTTTTGTTACTTCCAATTGTTCGACCGAGTGTCTCTAGAGGGAGGTCCTCAGAGGAATAGCTCTCAAAAGAGATATCTAAAACTCGGGCCTTCTCGCGAGAGATTTTTCCGAAATTCGAAAATCTTCGAGAAGCTTTCAGGCTGCTATCAGTCAAGAATCGCAGCGTGCAATTACGCGGCGTGTCGATTACGTTCACGCGATCGCCGGAAGTTTCCGAATACTAGCGCGACCGGAACGCGTGCAAGTGTTCGTTTGCCAAAGCTTTGTTGCACTGCAGACCAGAGTATCTTAGTTCGAGTTCAAAGTTCAGCGATAAGTCAGCTTGAATTGCCAGTCTCGTGGTAGCACGAGTGTCAAATCGGACTTGGTCAGCGCAAACTTTTATTCACAAAGTTCAGCAGACTTGACTCGCTCGAAACGATACTTTAACGAGATTAAACTTAAAAACATCACGTTCTCTCGTTCTTTTCCAAAATTACTATAAGGAATTATTTAGCTTATTTAGCTTAAACAACCTCTCGTGTCTTCTTTGATTGATATTGTATACGAGTATCGTTTATTATTTTGCTCGACGATATCGATCTCTACACCGTTGTTAATTCTTACGCACTTTTTATCGCGAATTTTATCAAAAACTAAACTACATTTCCATTAAACTCTTCATTATATACAAATAGTACCGACGGATATGCCGCACCGCGTATATCGTAAAACGGATATACGACGGCACGTAGACTCGGCCGTTCTCTGTCGAAATAAAACTTTGCGCAACTTAGAGTACTGACTCCGCTTATTAAAGATCGCCGTGATATCATGTTGATTATGAGCGCACTATAAGCTATTATCCTGTCTATATCGTAATCGCGCATCCTCGCCGATTACATGCAGATACCACATGCTGATGCCGAAGAAATGAAACGATCGCTTTTAGGCAAATACAGCCACACATACAGCCGCTCAACTGCGCGTAATTAAATTGTTATTAATATTTTATTGTATACAATAATTATATGCACGGCACAGATAAAAATCTGTAAAATGCCGATATCTTTGCATTACATAAAATATTTATGCATGCTCGTGCACGGCACAAAAGTTTTTACAGTAATGTTGAACCGTAACATTCTTGCATAGGCATTCGCAGAAACGTTATCTAAATATAGATCATATTAAACTAAAAAGTCAGCACATATAAGATAACATAACGAGAAATAAGCTCTCTTCGTAACTTTTTATCTCAAAATTTGCTTTTTTTAATTATTGAATCGCAGCATGCAACCACATAATTACTTCAAGAATCCTTCGTGGTTTTATATAATTTCGAGTAATAAGTAACTCTATGTCACGACATGATTAGATTAGTGACACGCAAAATTCTTATGTCGAGACTGCAAAGAATATTCTTTTATAATTAGCTAGTACTTCTTAGAAAAAAAGAAAGAGAAAGAAAAAAGTACATCATTTTATGCACATACAGATAAGATTCTACATTCTTTTATGCATGCAAGATTTTTCAATTGCGTATTTTAATTTTTTCAAAAGAAAATCCAAGAAAAACATTAAGTTATAATTAAAAACATAGTAAATTTTGCAAGTAAAGTTGTTGTAAAAGCAACAACTAAACTATTTATGGTATATAATGGACTCTTTTAACATCTAAATAACAACAACGTTTACGCTATTCCCGCACATACATTACACAAATTTATGTTTTATAATATATTTTATTACGCAAAATTGATTTTTGGAAATTATAACTGATATTGTTCTTAAAATAAATTAATTCAATCGGAACAAGTACGCCGATTTACTCAACAGTAAAACACTAGTCTTAATTTCATTTTCGATTAGCTTTTCGATCGAACGATCTTCTCAATCATGATTTTATTACGCCGGAACGTTGGACAAAGTGGCGGTTGAAATGGACAATATTATCCGTGATGAAGCAAATTAACAAGTCCATGGAGAAATCTAGTATAGAGGAACGGCGAAAAACAAAATTTCTCTATCATTCATTTGTACTATCGTGGTTAAATAAATGTAATTCACGCGCAAAACAATATTGAGACTAATCAAGTAACATGTAACAATTAATGTCGCTAACACATGTCTATAAAAATCGATAAAAAGAAATGTAATTGAAATACACGGCACGCTGGCAATTTAGATTTGTACATTTGTTTGTGACGAACCTCCAATAAAGCATTAAGCAATCTTTACTTGTAAAAAGATCGATTAACGATTCAGTCTATTGTACAAATTTTTATTGCAAGAACGTTATTTTAGTTATTATAGAAAAAAAAAATACAATTTACAGGGAAGCGCACTTTGCTTTGTTAGTAACAAATTAGATTTTACGAGAGAATAAGCAAATATGTCTATTAATAATGAAAAAAAGTCTGTAGACTTAGAGAGAAAAAAGCGTATAAAAAACGAAACACTTGCCTGTTCTTCGAAGAGCTCCGATCTTTACAATAATCCTTTGTGCTTAATGTAAAAGTGAAAACGATCTTGGATTCACGGACCGTAACTGAGTTCCACAATGATATACACATGCACAAAACTTACGAAATATGTCTGCTTTTTTTTTTATCTTATTTCTTTTTCTACTATTGCATGCTATAAGTGTCACTTTGCGAGATAGACTCCGTACCTCGTGAGTTGTCAAACGAGTATCGATCAAGTGTGAATTATAGCGGTGAGAAACATTCTGGAAGTTGAGCAGCGTTCAATGTCCTCCGAGAGTTCAGTTTCAGATTTTATTTCGTTTCTTGCGTCATATGTGTATACCTTGCATCATATGTATCAATTTGTTGTGAGCGCATCGATCAATTAAGTTGACGTTTATTAAATGCTGGTAATGACGACGAACATCGTCGAGTAAACCATTGCGTAAATCATATCTTTGATTGTCATCAAATTACGTTAAAAACGCTAGTGACCTGTGTCGACGTGCGTTTGTTTTCGATAATTCACGAAATATCGTCGCATGACTGTCTTTACCCTATAGTTATTGCGTCATTCGGTCATTATGATCGGGCAGGCTTCGTTAATTACTACATAATTATAGTTCCGCCTTTCTAATCCTATCTCCTATAAGCCTTGTTCATGCAACATTTTAAATCCTTGCCTCAATCCTCTTAAATAACATTTCTTCGTCGCATTCACAAGAAAACTTTTTATCATTTTACATTCTTTTAAATATCCTTATAATTAACTTATCATACTTCATGTTCTTCTTTTATACGTACATTTTCGCTTATGTCTGTTACACTTAATGTTCTTACTAATATTTATAATTAAATATTCTTTACATTTCTAAATTATTAATTATTCTAACAAATTGTAAAAAAAAATTTGACAAGTGACTTGACGTGACTTATTTCATTTATCGTAAAAAAGTAAGATAAGTGTGAAAAGTGAGGTATGAGAAAACACATGATGATTAGAAAGCAGCCTTGTCAAGGCGCAAGCTCCCGAGGCCAGAGGTATTGACGGTCGACTGATCTGACTTTACAAGTAGGTATCTGTTATAGGATCCCCGTTCGCCAAGAAACGTATGGCGCGGAGAAAGGACTATAAGACAGACAGATTGATCGCCGCGACAGGGAGGAGAGTGCAACGAACGAACTTTCCTTGGCTGTTTCGGTTTCAGGTGGCTGACCGTTGTACCAGAACCGACACGCGTTTTCTGGGTCGGGCCTCTCACTGGCCTACACTATAATAGCATAGGCAAAAGTGACCATTGAAGTCAGAGCCAATCTACTTTCAGGTGAATGGACAGCTAATCCTGGATCAAATGTAGTCTCACCCTCGACAAGGAGATCGGCCGGAGATCATGCGCATTAAGTTACATTCGCTCTTCTCTCTTTCTCTCAATTGTTCCGACTTTCAAGGCCGCGCCGCATTAACAAATATATCTCGGAAATTATTTTAGTTATTATTAGTACGAAGCCGAAGTTGTATAATCTTTTATATAATGTTTCGGCTAAATGGGTAAATTGGATAAAGTTTCCCATGTGAATCTTACCTCTAATTGCACTCCGAAGAGATCTCTCGATCTTCCGGGTCTGGGAGCGTTCAATTCTTGCATCTCGGCTTCTCGTTCTACCAATCCCATTTCTTTAAGGCGGGCCTGAGGACAGATAACAAAATTTTGGATTTAATTGCTTTTTAATCTTAAATTAAGTTTTTTAATCCTTATACAGATAGACTAATCGCGATAAATAAGTGTAATCGAAGGAGATCATATTCATTGAAATTTTATTCAAGCGTTAAAAAAACTTTGCAAAAATAGTATATATTAAAAATATACTAGACATTTTTGTAAATCATCGATCAGCAACGCTTTCTTCTTCAGTCAAAATAATTTTGTGGTATGAATTATAAATCCCAGCGCTCACAAAACTGTACAAATAATAATGTTACGGTGACTGAATTTAATAAATATGATATTCTTTCTCTGTGATGTATTAAATCCGTTTCTAGTTTCTTCTGCTTTTATGAAACGGTTAAACATTATAAAAATGATATATATCATAAAGTGATATATGTAGCGAAACTAAATCAAAAGTTTTCTCAGAGAAACTACACTAAAGTAAACCAACTATAACAGAGACAAACGAGTTTGATATATGAAGCATGCTACGGTAAAACATAAATCATTCGATAGAGAAAGATTCATAACAGTTACAAAACGTATTTAAACGTCTGCAAGCATACCGAATGCCAAAACAATCTAATTGTTATGAAAAGGTACTTAAAATAATTAAAACCATTAAGGCTAATTGCTAGCAGTACCAATTAGTAGTGCGTTAGTAGTGTCAAAAACTCTCGCTTATAAATATTGAAATATTTACCAATTACAAACACTTTATAAGACATTTTTTGATGGTATATACAATAATTTAATACAGCAGAGAGATATTTTGTAAAATTTGAAGTCGAGTTGAATTTGAGTTGAAAATTTATTTTGATAAATATTTATTTACAAATTATTACAAATTTAAATATTAAAGTGCATTGGAATTATATTAGAAAAGTTATTATTAAATTTATGGTTGTATAATGACGCATTTAATTATTACTATATCATAAGAGTGGATTAAGCTAATTAGTATTATGAGATTTTCATTTTCTCATTTTCACCAAGCACATAAATTCAATTCAGAAAGGTTACGCTCTTCCTCTCATTTCACACATGACACTTTCGCATAAGCGCTATTACCTCGTTGGCATTTAAAACAATTACGATGCGGGGTCATTACCGCGGCGCCGGGAATACCGCGACGTCGTCGTCGTGCCGTCGTCAAAGCGTGCGAATCACGGCGTATTGTCTGGCGATCCGACACCGAGAAAACAATAAGGCCAAGAGCAAAGTGCCGCGAGAAAAAAAAAACCGACTATATGTCGGATGTGATATCGGCAAAATTTTTCGCGACGTGAATCACTCAGTGTTTAAATGTCCAAAACGTTCGCGGATCGTTGGCGGCAAATGATTTCGAATAGCGTTGGGAAAGCGAATCGTGTCGATTTCTCGTGTGTGTGTATGTGTGAAGTTGGCGTCTCACTTCGCGGAAACTCACAAATTATTGAGAGTTCTGACTTCCTTTCGAATAGTTCTAGAGTTCCTGATAAATTAAACAAACAGTTCTGCTCATTAAAGCGAAAAAAATCGGTTCGGACAAAGTGAGACGCCAGGTCTCACGCCGCGTCTCACTTTCTCCGATAAATAAGTTCCGATGTCCGCCGATGCAAGATTTTGAAAGATTTATAGTTCTACAAGAGTTCTGTAAAGAGTTTCTGTCAAATTAAAGCAAAAAAAAATTTTATTTAAACATAAATACAGAGTAATTATTAATGTAATAACAGATCGAGCTAAACTACAAACACACAACTCGGAGCTTCTGGCTTAAAAATTATACTTTTCGTATAGTTCTCAACAATGGAGAAGCATTTTCTAAAGAGTCCCGGGCAATTGCGATAACGTACAATTGTCAAATCAATAAAATATCACCCGAGCGTCACGTACTTAGACGCAGACAGGTATGAGACGCTGGCCGCTACTTCTGGAGTTCTGGCTTAAAAATTACACTTTTCATATAGTTCTCAACAGAGGGAGGAGTGGGATAGGAAAAGGAATAACGTATCAGCAAGATACGTCTGCAACGATGCGTCTGGGTAAACGCGCGCGAACAATGCACGATGCGCGGTGCGTACGTCCTCGTACCGTTATCTCGCTCGCCACGAAATTATCCGCTAATTATTTATATAATTAATCGTAGACTCGCGGGCGTGCGCGCGATGCTCTGACACTCTACGACAGGAGCGTCGTCGTAGAGTGCCGCCTCCGCCGCGAGGGGATGGCAGTCTATCGTCTATCGCGTTACATCGGTTGTTAACGCCATAACGATCGTCGTTGGGCGCCGACGAACGTAATTGCTCCCCTCGCGTAATTTGTAATTGCATCATTATTATCTCTTTTCTACGAGCATTTTAATGCGTCGTGCAATTAGGTGCATAATTAATTGTTAGCGACTGCTGGGCTATCTTGGCTTATTCCGCATCTTATTCTAATAGCGAGCGCATCGCACTGTGTTACATTGCGCCGTAGGATGATTACATTCCCGATAATTTCGTTACGTCTCGCGTAATCCTATTCCTTTTTATATTTTCTTCCTAGCTTTAAACTGAATTCTCTGGCATCAGCAAAGACAGTTAAAAAAAATTAAACGATAATTTCAAAAATATTCTCATCTTTCAAAGTAGTCTAAGTAGTCTTTTAATTTCAATTTATTTAAATTGCAAATACTACCTTCTGAATTCTCTATAACTTGTAACTGCAAATTAGTACTGGTTGCTCTAGTTCCCATGACGATCGAATTAATTGAGGAGTGAAACTTCCCGAAACGGAAGCGTAAAGGGAAATAAAGCCATCGGTTATCAACGGTACAGGCTGCATAAAACGATTTATGGAGCTCTTTCTCGCAGCGAGAAGATTCTCCCGAGCACACGGTGCCTGTACGCGTGAAGCCAAAAGCGGAAGCAGAAAACGGTGGAGCACACGGTGGAGGCGAGTCAGTCCTAACGGGATCGCGATACGGATCATTAGCGCTGTTTAATCTATGAGCAAGCATTCTCGACCACGCGCACGGCGGAGCGTCGGCGGGGGGAATCGCGAGGCATGCTGGGCGTTAAAATCGACTGCGTCACGGGAAGGATTCTCTTCCTTCGATTTCCGCAAGTCGGCAAAGCGTGTCCTCCCGAGTCGTCGTGAATATATCACGTCATTTCCGTTGATGGAAAAAGTCGAAATTTTGTAAACTGGGATAGCGATTCACCGCGCGCGACGCGCGACGTCGTCGTTGCTTTTTCTTCTCCTTTTTTTCCTCGGCAATTTTTCCTCATTTGGTCTAAGAGGACTAAATAATTATTAAAAGAGAGCTGCCAGCAGAAGCTTTCATATACTTTGCCTCTCATATTCGATTCAGATACCATCGCGAAACGATCATTAGCGATAATGGATTCTCCAATCGATAGGAAAAGACATTTTTGCACAAGGGAAAGAATAATTAAAGTCTCCCGCTGCCACTGTGGTATCACGCAGCGTTCCCCAGTGTAAACAACGCCATCAAACACCACCTCTGTCATTGTCATATCCGACGCGAGTGCAGCGTCTATCGGACGATGGACAAATAATAAGCAGTAATAACAACGTGGTGGACGTTAAACGTGCCAGCGCATCATAGTCCTGACTCTAATCGCAACCGGTGATCTTGACGAGCCATATCGTTGCAACTGCCATCCCTCTTTTACACTCACTTATCTTTTACCCTTGGCCGCATGTAAACGTCGCACAACGATGAGTCGACATTAGCATTTGTTTCATGTGAATACACATATCTACATCTGGCAAAAGAAATAAAAGTTATTAATGGAAATTAATTTTTTTAATATTGCAGTTTTCTAATTTTTTTTATGTAAAAAAATTAAAGTTGGAAGTTTAGCATAGATAGATAAATATAAATTTCATATTTTCGATTCATTTCGACAAGATAAAGTCACTTTTATTTTAATTCCGTTCTAATTGCGTTCCTCTTTTTTCTTTTTTTTATCGCAAGTACAATACATTCTTGCTTCGTAATAGTATATCGAAAACGCAAGCTTATCGTGATGTGGAAGCTTATCACGATTTAGATATATGCTTCTAGAAATTGCAAGAAAGGTTAGTAGTAACAAACGGGAATATTTTCATGGAATTGCAAGACCTGCATTAGCGTGCTCGTCCATAGTCGGCTTCCGAGAACGCCCATACGTCCGTTAGCACGCAAGTTGATTTTGTTAAAGAAGATCATGCAAACGCATGGTTTGCATTTATTTTCTACATTTATTTGCAAATGAAAAGAAAAATATCGCACTGACTATCAGATAGGAGGAAAAGATCATGGGGCTGATCAGCTGACTTTAGAAATGGTCACGCGGTTCTTTCGCGAATCTCTATACATAGCGGAGTTAAATCGATTATTTTTGATAAAACGTTGATCATTTCAACGTCAAATATATTGCACTTCTTCCCGACAGCCAGAAGCGAGAGGGCACAAAATCGAAGACCGTCATCACGACCAACGCTATCGCTGAAAAATGACGACATTAACATTACCGGTAGGCTTATGTAGGTCACAACTGTCGAGATAAACGAGCGAGACCAGTGACCACTCCTTGACCTAGACGTCTCGACGTTAACCTGGCCCGACCTACTCTTCATCCCGATCTTATTGGAGTACAATGTCACGAGGACACAGGATTACAAAAAAGTTGGTATATTTTAGTATTATTTACGATTAAATTTACAAAAGTGCAGCCATTATCAAATTATAAAAGTACTTAAAATTTTTTAATCAGAATTTGTCGTCAATCTTCAGACAATTTCTTTCTTATTCATTATTACAATTGCATATTGCGCTTTTTTTATCTTTTCCTTTGTTTTCATTTTTAACATTACATACATTATTATTTTTTAGCTCATGTAAAATAAAATATGTAAAATATTTTTTTAAATAAATTGTAAATACGTTTTCATAGTAATTTTTAATACAACAACTTATTTCCAAATTACGTTTCATATCTAAATTATTA